GGCCTTACTAAATTGCTGAATCTGGCCTTGAACTTGTGATCCTCCTGCCTCAGCCTCCTAAGCTCCTGGGATTACAGGAGTGTGCCCCCTGCACCTGGCTCTTTTCCTTTTTAAATGCTATGATAGGAAGCAATGTATTATAGAGAAGGGAAACATTTCCCATCCAAAATATAGAAATCTGTACAGTTTCGTGACAATCAATGTACCTGAACGGTACAAATTTAAACCAGTTCATAATTTACCAAATAAAAGAAGTATATGGAAAAAAAAAAAAGAAGTATATGGAATGCTTCATGAATTTGTATGCCATCCTTGCAAAGGGGCCACACTAATCTCCGTATTATTCCAATTTTAGTATGTGTGCTGCTGAAGCTAGCACTCCTCAAGAGTTCTTAAATTAAATCATAAATATCTTTTTGGTTAAGACCCTATTATCATGTATTCAATTATTTGCAATTAAACCCATCTAATTGATTTAACAAGAGCGTCCAAAAGGTTTTATTACCGGCCTTAATTGATTTGGAATGACACTATGATTGATCAGCCATGTCTTCCATGAGCAAGGGATAAAGAGGTGGTGGCACAAATGTCAGGTGTATGCCATTTGGTCCTAGGGCCAGGCCAATACCTGGCACGTAGTAGGTCCTCAAGAAAGCTGGCTTATCCCTAACACTCTCGACTCTGGCCAAGCTTTTCCCAGATCAACTGTGTGGTTCTGTTGCCCTTGGCTTCCAGCTGCCTTGGTGGTGAGATCTTCTTTTCTTTTCTACAAGGGTGTGGGACCCTAATCCTTATCACTGGGGCCCCCAATATCAGAACCCCAAGTGGGTTTGCAACCCAACTTTCTGAAGGACAGACATCAGAAACCGGAATGTCAGCAGGTAGCTGGCAGACCTGCCTTCTATCTCTCATCATGTCTGCACCAGTCTCTTTCTACAGATCAGCTTTCTTCTCTTTCTGTCCCCAGAGAGCAGATGACAGTCAGGCTCTCAGTCTCAATCTGGATCGCCTGGTGTGGCTTTGGTGTTCACCTCTGGCCTTGCTAGCAGGATCCCATGTCA